GTGGTGTTTGGGAATTTTTTTTTTTTTTTTTATGAAAGAAGAACACGGTGAACAGCATTTGAAAAAGAGACACACAAGTCTGCAGGGGGTGGCAAGAGTAACAACCAGTTACACAACAATATTAACAATTACACCTTGCCTTTCTGTAGCACCTGCTCCCAAAGAGCTATAAGTATATTCAAGTTTATTAGGCTGTTTGATCTCATAAAAGTCCCACAAATGGGATGGCATAGTTATGATTGCTATTTTATAGATGAGAAGACTGAGGCCCGGAAATATGCAAGTGATGTGCCCAAGGCCCTAAAGCAAGCAAGTAAGGAAGTAGGTGTACGTCTGCCCTGTTTCTGGAGGTGTCTGGGTGCTTGCTGCGTGGGACTCCCTTCTGGTGTCTGCATTTCTGTGAAGGCAGGACAGAAGAGGTGACTGGCAGCAGGTTGGGAGAATTTTCCTGCACATGGTCACTCAGAGACAGTGAGTCAGGCACTTTATTTTGAGGTCGGTTTCCTCTTTCACTTCCCCAAACAATTGCTGGGGAGTGAGCTCACTTGTCACCTGGTCTCAAACCAAGATCTGACATACTTGCACAGCGGGGCCCTGGAGGGATTAATAATAATGATCCAAAAGGAGGCCAGCACCCCTGTTCCAGGACTCCTGCCCTCTTGGCCAATCACCCCCCAGCTGGAGGGCTTCTCTCTAGCCTGTTCCCACAGCCTCCTGCCTGTTTCTTGACCTCAGTCTCTTTCCCATTCAACCCTCCCTGTGACTGAGCTATGAACAGCTCTCCTCACCTCTCAGAATTCCTCCGGCCTCAGCTTGGCTCTCGAGGCTCCACCCACTCAGGTCCCTAACTATCTTCCCACTTTGGCTCCACCTCTCTTCCTTGGCTATGAAACTGCCTTCAGCCAAGCTGGAGACTGGCCTAGACATGCTTCATGTTTTCCCAACTCCAAGCTTCCTGCCATAGCATTCCCTTGGCCTGGAAAGCCACTCCCACGCTCTCTGGATTTCTACCCATCCTTCAAAGCCTGTGACAAATGTGACCTCCTTCCTGAAGCCCTCCTGATTTCACCACCAGGAAACGCTCTCTCCCTCCTGTGATGTCTCATAGCTCCTGGTACACAGATCTCGACACAAACAACTCTCCGTGTATTGTGGTGGTGCCGTAAAGCTTTGGGTGTTTACAGAGTTATGGAGACTGTGGGATTCTGCAACACTGCTTGTGCACCTCTGTGTCTGTGTGTTTGTGTGAGGTGAAGGGCGGAGCCCTTGTACATCAGGAAGGGATGGGTCATGGCGTCCAGCACTTTTGCTCCGCCAATGAACAGCCAGGCTTCTTTCTTGGAGGACAGAAGTCCCTCACAATCAAACCCACAAACACTCTTGGAGGAAGAAAGGAGAGACGGAAGAAGCGAATACACATATACAGCTCATTTCCTGCATCCCAGGCACTGTGGGAGAGGGGAAATTTCCCACGAGCAATGTGCTCACTTAACACTCAGTAGCTGTAAAGGGCAGAATGAGTAGTACCAAGGGCCAGGCTCACACGGTGGGTGTGCTGAGTGGTGTTCACAGAGCGACTCTGCCAGAGGGTCATGGGACAGGATCAGGCAGGGGATGATGAACCACAGAAAGGTGCCCCCAAGGCCTCAGCTGCTTCCATGGGGTGCGCTGAAGCTTGAGTACTCTTCAGTGATGTTACCCTTAGGGGCAACCAGGCTGGATCTTTGTACTCCTGGGAATGGGCATAACTGGGCACTATGGATGCCTTCAGCTGACGGCATCCCCTGAGAAGCAGTAGCCTCCATCCAGGGACTGTGGATCAGAGAAACGCCTGCCTTACAAGTGTGGCACTGCTGGCAAGCGAAAGGGCTGGGGATTAACCTCAGCCGGCCTGACTCCTGGTGCCCACAGGCTTTGTCCTGAGGTAGTGCGTGGCTTTTAACCTACCTCAGAGGTGAGCATGGCCACCCTGCGTCCAAGATACATCATTCGGTATGAATGGAAGTTCACACCCAGAAGGATCCCTGAAAAGAATGGTCTCCCCTTTCCTGAAAGATCTCAGGCGGATCTAGTGTTAAATGGTAGCTGTGAGAAGGTAGGCACGGGTCCTCTTGTTTTTCTGTTGCTGCCTGGTTTTTAATCCCACTTTGACAACTTTGGGGGTGGGATCTGAGTGCGATATTCAAAATCCTGAACAACCTGGTAAACACCCAGAACCCCAGAGTGGGCTCTGGCAGAGTGGCACCTGCTCCAGATGAGCGTTAAACCTGGGGGCCCAGGGGGCATCCCAGCCTGCGATTCCTGATTAAACCGAGAGGTGGAGCATGTGAGACAGAGACGTCATCTATCCTGGGCCTCTTCCTATTGTGGGGCCTGCACATCAGTCTGCCCCGTATGCTCCTGTGCCTGGCCCAGTTTGCTACACGAAGTCTGTGCGACTGCTGTGGACTCATTTATTAAAACGAGAGGTTTCCAATCCTGTTTCTCCTTGAAACAGAAGAATCTGGTGAAGCCCCTCAGGGGAGGGGAGGCGAGCGGGCCAGGGCAAGGCCTCCTACCCTACTTCAGCTGGAACAGTGCACCTTGTATTTGTTTATGCCTCCATACGGTTTCACTCAGACCCCACATTCCTGAGCTAAAAACAAAAAGCTCAGAAACCACCCGGCTGCACATGATGTGTGAGTGAGGCCCTTCGTGTGTAGCTCTGACACGCTCCGATATAAGTGAGCAAATGGACGGGTGGATGCAGGAACGAGTGAATGAAAGGATGAACTCTTTGCGCACCTAGCCAGCATCAGCCTGATCCCAGCCACACCTGTTCTCAGAGCAGGCGGCCGGCTGTCCCGAGTCCTCTGAAAATCTACACAGATCAGATGCCGATCCCGAAGTCCTGACAATGAGCAGATTCTGCCTATCTCCACCACTGGCCCTGACGAGGGCCTTCCCTTTAGGTGTCTCGGATGTCACTGGGTCTGAACAGGAGAGTCACCCACGGTGAGTTCTCCTGCACTCGTCTTCTTTGGCTCTCCCAGAATGTTGACTCAGCTGAAAGACTCTGACAGCAGCAGCGCAAGTTGCTGGCGGGTTCGGCAGTAGAATCATTAGGTCTTCTCGGTGTGCGTCCCGGGGTGGGGCACTGGATCAGGCTGGCGTCGGTCCCCTTTCATCCCGGGAAAGGGCTCCCAAGTTTGGCCTGGATTTCTTCCCTTATCCTTTTCTCAGCCTCCCCCCACTTCCTTTCCATCCTCCTTTCCTCCCTCTAAAGCAGTAGTGCTCAACCTTGGCTGTGCGTGTTAATTGCTTAGGGAGACGTAAATATTTCCGATGCCCAGAAACTTTTACTATTTGGTTTGGGGCGTGGCCTTGGCAGCAGGACTTTTAAAAGCTCCCCAGGTAATTCTACTGTCCAGCCAAGGTTGAGCATCATGACCTGAGGATGCAGGGGTAGGATCTTCACTTTAGCCGGGGGATTCAGTTGTGTGGGCTGGATTTAGAGCAGAGACATCCATTAGCAGCAGGGGAGGGAAGTAGAGCCTCGCCATACCTCCGGCCCTGTGAGACTCAGGGAGGTCAGTTCTGTTCGGTGTCCAAATGACAAGGTGTGACAGCACCGGGGAACACATCAGAGCACGTGGAGGCTCCAGGGCAGCAATGCACCAGGTCCACAGTGCTGTCGCAGAGCCTCAGGGGCTGCAGTTTGGAGAGCTGTAGACCTCACCAAGGGCCTGGGCAGCAGCACTGTCACAGAGTCTGCTGGCAGCAAGGCCTCCCCTGCAGTGACCACGGGCAGCACACGCAAGGGGTGGAACAGAATGAGAACGGGGAAGACTTCGTGAGATGTGGCGTCCACTTTCAGTTGCACTCCTGTCTGTGACTACATGTGGAATATGCCCAGGGGACCCCACATCACGGAGTGAGCTTGTGGCAGATAGGAGCAAGCACAGTGAAATCTGCTCCTTTTACTGATGGATCTGTGGGATGGTGAAGTGTAGGGTCATAGATGGGAGTCACCGTCGTGAAACTGGTGGTGGTGGCCACGTGGTAAGGTCTGGCTGACATTTGCCAGCCTTGTCTAAACGTGCCCCTTAGCTGCTCGGCCCCATGAGTAGTTTTCTCTCCATACATGAACCACGCAATCGAGGGCTCCTCAAGTCTCACTTCCCCTGCGTGTATGTTCTCAGTGTGAAGTGTTTGCTTTGCTTCCTGTGCAAGTTCTCCCTCTCCTTTTAAAATCATTCTCTCCTAAATTAGAGAACCTCTTTAATTGTTAGCAGGAGCTAGGGCTCTGCTCCTTGCATGGACAATATCATTAAACACTGGAAAATAAACAAACTGGAAAAGTTTAAGACATTTTCAAACCCTTTGTTTCCCAGAGGGCGTCTGGGGGCCCGGGCAGGACAAGGTTCTGCTGGCCTGGGTTTATACTGTGTGGATGACTTGACCCCACCAGCTGTGAGAAGCCAAACTGACAGCGGGGTTGTTTTTACTAAACTTCCCAGGATCGCAAACTTGATTTGGGAGGCATTTGCGCTGATTTGCGCCCAGGTCTCCAGCGACTGATTCGAGCTTCCTCCTCGGGCAGAGTGCATGCTGGGAGTGGGCCAGTGGCTCTGGTGGCTGACAGCTGTTGTAAACCATCGCTGTCCTCCAAAGTTATTCCACAGGGCCAGGGGCGGGGAGGGCAGGGGAGGGGACAGGAGCAGGGGTGTGTGAGAATGTTTCTTTCCATCTTGCTGAAATGTGAATCTAATGAAATGATAATGAGGTTGTGGCCTTTAAGCTCCATTGAGCTTCTTGCGCATTGTAATTTTACCCAGAGTGGGGCTAGTTTTTGAAATGATTAAAACTATTGATTCTTAGGCCTGTGTGGCCAGAATCAGAATTCATTAGAGGCCTGGAGGTGAGGGGTAAACATTTCTCCCTAGTTCCTCTAGGAAACAGATGCATCTTGTGTGAGGCTCTGGCTGGTGCAGGTGCCCCTGACATGATGGCAACGAGACCGATAGAACCCAGCGTCCACACAGCCACAAATTACGAAGGCCCCAGCCATGCCTCTCGGCCCATCCTACCAGGACTTCTCCTCGTTGGAGGAGGAAGCACCTCTGTGCTTAGTCTTGGCTCTAGTTTCTTCTAGGTAGCCTCCAAAGTTTTGAACCAAAGGAGTCCCAGGAGAAAGTCTACTGGGTGGCCTCGGGCCTCCCAAGCACCAGCTTTCTCAGCACCATCAGAGAAACCCTCCTGTCGTGTTGTCACCACTTTGTTGGCTTCCAACATTGTGAGATCTCAGCGGTGAAATTTTAGTCCAGGTTCTCTGGAGCTGAGAGAGGTTGGCATCTTTCAGAAACAATCATACCTAATGATAGAAGAGGCTGAAAAGAAAAGAACCACAGGGAAGTCAACAGCATAAAGATGAGCATGTTCCTAGAGCGTACATGTATTGCTTTACCTCCGGGCTGTTCTTGCCTTAAAGCACTGAAGCAATGCAAACTCTTGGTCTGGCTCCCTCCTGTGTCCCCATGGGGTCCTCCTCCTCCATTCCTGCCATCTTCAAACTGTCAACTCCCATCCTCATCTCTGGCAAACATAAAATATCGCATTCTAACAGCCCACCTGGGGCCGCCACACACGTCCAGATTGTGATCTGAGGACGGTCCTTTATCCACAGTGGACACGGGTCACATAAATGGCTTGGGGAGGCATTTAGGATGCTGCCATCCAGTTGGTGGGACGCAGCCTGGCCAGTGTCCCCTTTGACTCCACTCGAGGCTTGCTGGGCAGTCATGGTTGTCAGGGGCGCACAGCAATAATTTAAGTCAGACTGGAGTTTCAAGGTCTACTCTCAAGGTCATGCACACCGTATCATAGCTACATTTGGAAAATAATGTGGACCGTCTCCAATTTTCAGCTCGCTTTCTGTAAGATCAGCTTAGATGCTCACATCCTGAGACCCTCTCCTAGCACCGGTACCAGGCAGTTAGGATGAGCCTTCCGCTGGCTTTCGGAAGTACAAGAGGCATCCAGGGTCCCAACCCACATCGTATTCCTATTCGCCTGTATTGCTCTATGTCTCCCCACCTTCCACTAGACTGTGGGCTCCTCGAAGGTTTGAATGTTATTCCTTTCTGTGCATCTCATCACCTAGCGCAATATCCGGCATCGATTGCTGAGTGATTACTGAGTAAACGAAGGGAGGAAAGAATTCATGGCGGACGTCACTCGATGCTTAGAGCAACCCTTGTGAGCTAAGCAAGGTAGGAATATGAGCTCTGCTTTCCTGAAGAGAAAAAAAAAAGAGAGAAAGAAATGGAGCACGCAGGAGAGTAGGGCCCTGCTTGGAGGTCACCTGACTCCTGAAGCTGGCGCCAGGGCTGCGGTGTAGTAGCCGGGTGGCTGGGAGAGGCTCCCCGCTCACACTTGCTGGCTGTGATTTGTGTAAGGACCGCGCCATTTGAAAGTCACCTCCCACACAGGTGATTCCCAAGCAGTTCATACCAAGGTCCCCTTTTATCACCTCTCCCCACCCGACCCGCAGCACCCAGGCTTTTCCAGAGTTGGCCTAGCAGATGAGCTACAATCATTCAGTAATAATAACTCCATTTTCTTGATTTTTATTAATAAAAGACATATGCGACATGCCACTCAGTGCTTTCAGTGGAAAGAAAATGAGTTTCCCTCTCTCGGTTAATAAAATCCCACCCGGAGGCAGGCAGTCACCAAACTGCCATCCCCCACTAGGGCTGGCGGCTCCAGGGTGCCCTTGACAGCCAGAGCCCAGCGCCTGCCGGTGACCTCTGAAGCCTGGGGGACAGAGCCATTTGAGCTGCTCCAGCAGAGCCTGACTCCCTCCCGGAGAAGCGTTACTGCCATGTGTCAGCTGCTCAGAAGCAGCCGGAGTGATGTATTCCAAGACCTGTCAGGAGTGAGGGTTTACGGCCAGTTAGGAACCGTAAACCCCTTCCCGCGGAACTGCCGGTGGAATTTTAATACTCTGTCTCCCTCTGCCTGGGCACTTCCTTCCACGCTTGGCCCCACTCCTCCATGCATATGGAACAGGGCTCGTGTGTGAGGGTCCCAGGGGACCATGAATGGCTTCACTCCGTCCAAGTGTCACGGCTGGAAGTGGGAGGTGAGGTTCAGACAGGGCCCGCGGCCTTCCTGCCTGCTGCCGGGCCTTGGCAGGGCCCTGTGCTGGCCCTCTGGGGACCTCCCTTCCGGATCATGGCGGTGCCAGGCCCTCCCTCCTTGGGCTTGAAGGGAGAGGGAAAAAGGAACTCGAGCCTGTCCTCTCCCTCCCTTCCTGACACCTCCCTCCCTCCCTCTCCTTCCCTTCTTCCCTCCCCTCTTCCTTTCTTCTTTTCTCCCTCCCTCTTTCCCTCCTCCCTCCTTCCCTCCTGCCTTTTCACCCTTCTTTCCTTTCTCCCTCCCTCCCTCCGTCCCTCCCTCTCACCTGCCACCTGTCCCTCCCTCCCTCCCTTCAGTCCTTCCTTCCTTCCAGCAACAAGTTCATATTGAGGGCCCACTATGTGTGAGGCAGGAAGCTAGGAGCAGGGGACCAGAGGACCTTGGCCTGTCCCCAGGGCACCTTTCTGTGCCGCTACTCAGCTCTGACTCTCCGCAGAAGGTAAACACCAAAGGGAGCAAAGGAGAAAGAGGTGGAAATAGAGGGCAGCCAGAAGAAAGCATTGTAAGGAAAAATGACCTCAATATAAGAGGAAGTAAAAGGAAAAATGGGCTCCAAGTGATTTGAGGAGAGATGACACTTCTGTCCTTCTCAAAAAAAAAAAAAAACAAAAAACACAACAAAAAAACAAAAAACAAAAACTCACCTCTCCTGAGCTTTTTGGCATTCTGCAATCATTCCAGAGTACTTCTGACTGAAAAAGCTTTTTGTTCTTTAATAGTTGCCTTTGAAAATGCAAACCCTCTTCCCTCCTCAAAAGGTTGCTGCTTTAGTGACAGCCACTGTGTCCTTAGTAGGAAATGCACCCTTCTGAGACACCGGGCAGCCCGCCCCGAGAGGACACAGATGAGGGCCACACACCTTCCAGTCCCTGCCTGTGCCCTGTGCCAGTGGGAGCCGTGGCAGAGCATCCTACGGCCACTGTCACCCATTCCTCCCACAGAGGAAGGCAGGGCCATAGCTCTGGCTCTGTAGTGCATGCTCAACCCCTGGCGTTGAATTCAGATCCCTCCATGCAGCCTTCATCTGAGTGTCCCAGAGGCAACACATCCGTGACCCAACTCAGCATCCCCCATGAACCGTTTAAGTATAATCTCCGAGTTTCTTCTCCTCCTCCTTTCTCCACTAGACCATCAGTGATCTGAGGCGAGTCCCTGTGGCTTGGCTTTTCCTCTGTGTGGCCCAGGGCCCCTGCTCTGTCCCTAGTATATGGTGGGCATCCAAGAATATTTGTTGGGAGTTTATCAGTACTTAATAGAAGAAGCAGCAGCTTCTGCTGGATCAGTTTCCCTTGCAACTCCTCTCACCCATTTTCCCTCTGGGAAAGGGGATCCCACGGCTACAAATCTCAAGACTTCTGTTTTAGTAGAGTCAGAATAGAACTGGTGAGAGCTCTTCACCCCACAGGGAACACCTTTGACCAAACTGGGAGGAAGGGGAAAGGATCTTTGTATCCCAAATCTTCACGAATAGGGCTGGATTTGCATATGTTAATATGGAGAACTGTAGCTATTTAATGAGAAGCAGTGGGCCATGTGGGTGAGCGGAATTCTTTGGAGTATTTTTTCAGATGTCTTAATTCACTCTTTCTTTGTTGTAGTTCGGCAGAGCCAGGTGTTTGGATTGAGTTGATCCTGTCCCGTCTCCCCTCCCCCAAGGCTCTGAAACCACGGCTCTCACTGGACACCAGGCAAACCTGAGTCCAGGGCTAGTAGCGAGCTCACACTGCCCACCTGGACACAGCACCAAGCAGATGGCCTGAAGGAGCCACCCCAGGCCAGAGAGCGCAGGCCCGAAGGTTGGGAGGGGAGGAGAGGCTAGAATTCCAGAGACCAGAACCCTGTGTGGAGACGGCCTCCCATCTGGGTTCCACTAAAAACACATTTTGCGTTTCTGTTGTTCCTAACTCTGGACTTATTTCTAGGAGCAAATTATAAAGAAACATCTCTCCCCTGATTGCAACAGCAGCTTGAGCTTGGGTAGATTCTCATCTGCCAGGCCTGTCCTTCCTAGGGGTGAAAAGAAGGGGCTCAGGTGGGGATCCCAA